AGAGAGAGAGAGAAAGAGAGAGAGAGAGAAAGAGAGAGAGAGAGATCAAAAATTGAGGATGAGATCGATCAAATATAACAGACATTTTTGATGTTACAAAAGAGTTCATTAAAAATGTATTATGGTTTCCCAAAAATATTGCACAGCACAACTTTTTTCACCATCGATAATACTAAGAAATATTTATTGAGCAGCAAATCCTCAGACTGGAATGATTTCTGAAGGATCATGTGACACTGAAGATGGTCCTGAAAATATGGCTTTAACATCACAGGAATACATTGCATTTTAAAGTATATTAAAATACAACACAGTCTAAATTGTACTGTATCTTAATCAAATAAATGCAGCCTTTGTGAACATGACTTTCAGAAACATTAAACACTCTTATTCAAACTATTGACTAGTAATGTACCGTACATTAAAATACTATTTAATTTTGTTATTTAATGTTAAAAACATTTAAAAATCTAACCAGCCCTAAAACGTTTGAATGGTAGCGTATGTTAGATGTTAAAGTACAATCCAGAGAAGACCAAGTGGTAGGATACAGCCTGTTCTCTGACAGCTCTGGGTTGCGTTTTTAAAGTTACATTTGAACAATCCACAATATTTGTAGAACAATGTCATGAGAACAGACTGAACCGTCATTATGCTCACAGTGTTTCTCCACAAACACGTCAAACCTACTGTCAAACACTGTGCTGCATGGAAGGGAAATGATTTGGCCTTGTTCTGCTGCCAAAGGAGCCAAAGACCTTGCTGTCATCAAGTCACCCATGAACTCCCTCTTTATACTAAAGTACCCAAGATCTGTCTGATGGCCAAAACTGATGATCCCAAGGACAATTCGAGAATTGAGGGAGATGGAATAACCATTGAAAGATGAAACATTCATTCATTCATTGAAATATTCCCTCTCTTGGCCGTTTAGGAGATTCATAAACCATGATATCTGAAGTGTCACTTGTTCTCTCATTCAGAGCTGAGATATCAGACAGCAGCGCACTGATTTAAGATTTTATGGACTAATCATGCTTTGAGGATTGATTTGGACTTGAATTCACACTGAGATCATCTTCTCGACATTTGCTTTGTATGAATGTCATGCTAATCTCTAGTCACGCTTGTGGTTCTGATTATAATTTATTTTTACTTAAATGTTGAGTTAATGAGCCAAGAGCGTCTGTGTGGCGTCCAGGAACAATGTGTTGCAGAGAGAGTGAGAAGTGTGCTCTCTCATTCTTTCGCAGTGACCTGTGGATGAACAGACACCTGTGTGTGAACGGTTTGCCTCATGTGAACACATCAGCTCTGGGACGGTCAAGGAAAACCCCACTGAAAATAGATTCAGAATAGATTTGACAAGCTTTAGAGCGAATTGTCCAGTCTAGTGTGCATGTCAGAGACCACACTGTGTATTAGAAAACTGTATGTGTTAAAGCTCACAGTCACAGCTTTGCATCTTTTTTTCTGAGTGTAGTGTATCAAATAAAAGTATACTGGACATTTTATTTAATGCTAATAAAATTAAATATACCTAAAGAGAGTACCATTTCAAAGGCACTATTTGTAATATCAGTTACTTTAAAGTACATTTAAAGTAATTAATAATAATGCCAATGATGGTATGTAATAATAATATCTTATTGTGCTTTAAAGAAGCACTTATTTTTCATGTGTTGTCTAATATTACAGGACATGTCGAGTACTTGATTATAATTTTAACTATGTTATTTGACATTACAAGTTAATATATTTTAAATTTAGAAATGCAAATGTGTAAACACAAACAATTTATATACATGACAAGTTTCAATAGAAATACAATATTTTACATTTTTATTTCAGTTTACATTAAATGCTTTCCAGTACATAGATACAGTGCAATCAAAGTAATCATGAAATTACATGTAGATATGTACTTAATTGGAAAAGACAAACAAACTTAAAAGTCTTAAAAAATGTTAAAATATAATGCATACTTTCATTTTAATTGCAATTAACATTCATTGATTGACATGCAACAATTTAGTGTTGACAAATTCAGAATATTCAGTTTGCACTTAAATATATTCTTTTAAAGTATATTATTTCTCTATAAGTACTCTTTTAAAAGTAAGCTAAAGTGTGCTTTTTTTCACAAGCACATTTCTTCTTTACTGGCCATTTAATATACAAATATTTTTTCAAACACTTGAATCATGTTAATTTCAACATATAGTAGATGCTTTACCAGTGCCAAGTGGTTTTGGAGGGCTCTTAACAGTGTGAATATTGTTTTTGTCTTTGTAATGTTTGAGACTGTGCAAGTTCTTGTGGCAGCATCAGCCAATCACTGCTGTCATGATGTTATTTTTCTGCGGCTCAAGTCACATGGCATTTGCATTACATTACTGGATGTAACTATAGTCCAGATTAAACATTCGTAACCAGGTGAAGAGTGAATTCAGTAAATGTATCACCATAATAGTTACTATATTATCCAGATTTTTTGATCCATAGATCATGATGTTTTGTGAAACACTATCCTGTCCTGAAAGTCCTGGCCTCACAGGCTGCAGATAATATCATTAATGTATGTTTGTTGAATCAGGTCATTATTGACTGGGAGCCATTCTAAACAGCATCAGCTCAACACACACACACACACACACACTGAGAGTCAGTGGAATATGTACTGTTCAGTGCTAAACTGATAAAGCAGAAACAAAAACATATGCCTGACTGCAGCTGTGCTGATAATACACCATTATTTCTAAAGAATGGCATGTTTACAGTCACACACAAATAAACC